AGGTAGTTGTAGTTACCTGGGGTTCTAGTGAGAAGTCGTGACCAGTAGGGTGCACCAGGTCGAGTGTGAGGACAAATACTCGCCGAAGACATTGGCTAGTGGTCGCGTTATGTCGTGAATCGGCAGAAGTTATAATTCATGGGTTGGTCATTGGATCGGGTTCCAGTGGCTTAATGGTCTACGAGCTCGCCTTGTAACCAGAAGGTCGTGGGTTTTAACCCTGGTGGTGGATGCGTACTGATGAAGAGTCCCAAACTAGGACGAAATGGCTGTCCAGTACTCCCTTCAGGTTTCCCAATGGTTGTCTAACTAATGTCAACTCATGATGAAATCCTGTAACCAATCAACCAAATCCCTACAAACCAACACTTGAATAAAACCAAAATCGTATGTACCTTCAAGATTCTACGGTCAACCAAAGATATATAAATCCACATTTCCATTAAGATCAGTAATAGATTTCACCAACTCACCAACATACAACCTCTCTAAATACTTACTTTCGATAGTACAACCACTACCAAAGGACACTCGAAATATTGTAAAAGATTCATATGATTTCAAATCCCAAATAGAACACCGAGAAATTCATATAGAAGACATTATTGTAAGTTATAATATTAACTCATTATATACTACTTTCCCTATTACCGAAAGTCTTGATATCATTTCCAGTCTACTAGAGTCAGATTCAACGCTATCATCAAGATGTCGACTGGACACCAGTGAAATAATTAAGAGCTTGAAATTCTGTCTAGAAAGTAATTATTTTACATTTAAAGGGATTTTGTATAGACAGACAAATGGTGTTGCTATAGTTTTACCACTCTCCCCAATAGTCGCTGACCTTTTGATGAATCAATTCGAAATAACATCTTTTCAATAGTACTCACTCCTAAAATATGATTAAAATGTGTAGATGATACTTTTGTAGTGCTAAAATGAGATCTAGACAGTTCGTTCGTGGAGAAAATAAACAGTCTTTCTGCCAGAATCCAGTTTACTTTGGAAGCAGAATCAGACGTCGGTGAAGTACCATTTCTAGACTGCCTAGTTAAGAGAAAGGAAAACGGACATTTTAGTATATCCGTATTCAGGAAGAAAACCCACTCTAATAAATATTTAGACTTCAAATCATCACACCCCATCAGCGCAAAGATTTCAGTTGTTTCAAGTCTTCTTAGACGAGCACACTCTGATAACGGATGAGTAAGAAAAAGAAGAAATATCAAACATTGCTGAAACTCTCAAGCAAAACAACTACTCAAGGAACTTCATCAACAAAAACAACACAGACATTAAGTATGACCAGAAACGCATTCCGAAAACATGGACCTCAACAGTTGTCATTCCATATAGAGCAGAGACGCCAGACGATATCGGAAGAGTACTCAATCAGCTCGATATTAGAGTTTTCTTCAACACATCAGACTCGCACACTTCAAAGCAACCTTGTCCACATAAAAGACCAAATCCCGAAAGATTCTCTATCTAATTGTGTCTATAAAATAAAATGCTTGGAATGTGATGCGATCTACATCGGACAAACATCTCGAGAAATCAAAATCAGAAGAAGTGAACACCGTAGAGCATCTATTTCTGCCACCGATAAATCCATTTGAACTACAAAAGCTTGAAAGTTAATCAGCCATAGGTCTACACGCTATAGAAGCAGGCCACAAAATTGATTTTAACAATATTGAAATAGTCCAGAACAAGCATTTCATAAATCACAAAAAGCGTTTAATATCAGAAGCATCTCATATCAAGTGGAATCCAAATTGTCTGAATAGGAGTGATGGACTAAAACCGAATTCGACCTGGTCACAACACCCCGTCCCTTTGAAATGACAAAATCAACACGAATCTGATAAGCAATATCATTATTTAAACACACGCTGTTTTATAACTTTATACGCTTATCAAATCCAACAATCTACACTTGGTTTTGTTATCTTTACCATTTGGTCAATTTGACAACACAAAAATAGCTCCATACTGAGGAATGATGATTAAGTTGTTATATATTAAGCCGAGATTTTGTACATTCTAGTTTAATACTACTACTTTGATAAAGCTATTAGCAATATTGAATAGCGAGATGTCAGTAAAATTGACAATGTCGTTTTGTTTTTCATTGATTGGGAAATACAAGAAAGCTTATATTATAATCAGTATCATTACCCAATGCCCAAATTTTTTCAAACTGTTAAGAGTGAACTTGGTTTGGACATAAATCAGAATATGAGTAGTTTATTCATTGAACATGTGTAAATCATAATAGCTGCTACTGTCAGTCATAAAATTATAAAAAATTAAATTTTAAGCATATTATTTGTTTACTGTAACCTAGACGACCGCATACTATGGTATAATTAATGGCATATACACGGGCTTGTACAACAAAATAAACAATCTCTACCAAATCATTAAACTGTAATCGTATTCTTATTGTTATAATTGATGTATATATCTCATGGTTTGCGGTTAATTGACTATTCCTTTGTCTACTGTGAAGCCTTAAATGTATCATAATGACAGGGAATCTTTTTATAACTTGTAATCTTTGCGTTTCTATCTTATATCATATTCATTTTTACTAACGTTATATTCCATTAAAATATGAACTAACCGTAGATGACAGCTATTTGATCATAAATATCTTTATTACTGGTGCTCTATTGCGTGCGCGAGCACCACAGAATGAATACTACTCATAACCTAAACCTAGAGTTTTAGAGTTAAGGAGAGGAAGTGCACCAATGATGTGTGTTATCTTTGCCTATGACTTTTAAAGGGATATCTTTTGAAGTTATCGAGCATTTATAGTGCCGTTTATTATGCTTTCCCCTCTTCACATGAAGGCTGAGCTCTCATCAATTTAGTGTTTGTCATGACCTAGTTATTCAAAGTTGCTGTATTATTTTTAGACAGTGAGAGCTCTCGTGTCTGTGGTATTGTTTCTGTTTTGATTGTCATTGTGTTTCGCTACTGTATTAGGTTCGTATAGCTCTGAGTCTACTAGGCTGTTTTAGCAGGTCATAACATAATGACGAATTGCCATCTATTGATTCAAGTAACTAAAGAATACATATATCATGCATGTCGGGTAACCACTGCATTTGTCAGCCATCTGGGGAAGTCTCCAAATAAGGATATTAACAATGTGGTCCGGAGAAGTTTGCATTAGTGAAATTTCTATTCACTACCTATTCACTACCTTCAATTGATCACAGGATTATTTTAGTAGTGTGGAACATAGGGCTTCAAGCTAGAGGCTTGAAGTTTCGGTAGCAGTAGTGTTTTATTTTTACAGGATGAGGTTGCTAGCCTCACGTCCAACCTTTCCTCTTTAACAGTTTTATTACTGACTTAGCTAGGTTAAGGAGTGCGTCGGTGTCCGGGAGTCGAACTTCGGACCGCATGAGGCGTGATTGGCGAGCATTCTACCTCTGTGTTACCAACGCACGGGAATTAGAATTATTGTTCCAATTCTTTGTTAGATGGCAGGTTGATCTCTATTTTTGTTATTATTAGCTGTTTATGGAATTGTGGCATCAAGATGTTAATATAAAGGAATTCACATGCGGGATAATGCAGTACACGGCACATTTATCTTGACAGACTGTGAATGAAGAATATAAAAAGTTACCTGTAGACGAATCGGTCGTCTAAGTGATGAATCAACATAACCTCAATGGTAACCAATTTAACTCTCTAGTCCTAAGTGTATGTTGATCAAGTTTATGGATCGTCATTCGCATAATATGGACATCAGTTGAAATGAAATTACACTTATGTACGCTGTTGCTTTTCGTGTCACGTGTTAAAAACCGATAGACACTAAGTCCTGAATTGAGATTTATCAGCAAGAAAATTAGTCTCCTCGTCAAGATTGGTATCTATATTACTTACTTAGTGTTGAAGCATTGATTTCGCTTCACAACTACCCATCCATTGGAAGCAGCGTTAACTGCCAGCTGACACCAAAATTGAAAGTTCTCCACAGTGTCCAATTGTATTGTGTTATCTTAGTAGCCACACTGCATATCTAAATCGTAGACTTAATCAACATACATAAAAGTAGACAACTACATTGATCACCACTTAACTACAGGTTGTTGCATGTCATTTAGTTCCACAGGAGCGGAGATCGAACCTTGGATAATGTGCTTGGTTGGCCAGTATCCTACTGCTGAACCACCGACACACGCTTAATATGTATGTATATTACAGAAGTCCGCAGTATGTCATTGTAACGGCAGAACACGATAGTATTTCGTAGCGGAATGGTTTATTTGGTTGGATGAATTGAAATCTTCATTTGCACTTGTTCTTCGTACTGTGCTTCTTTTGTTGTCTTGTTTTCATACATTTATACTCTATGCAATGGATATGATACTTCTCGGACGCCCTTAAAAAGAAGGAGGCGGTTGTGTTCGGGAGCTACCTCCTAAGACTTTGACATTATCCAAAAGGCAGTGGAGCAGCGTCAGGTTTTCGGTGACCAAAACAAGTCTGTCCATACTCCACTCAATCCGTTTCAGATTATGGTGCTCATATACACTATAGGTTTAGGATCCGGATTTTCTATCTCCCCTAGGCGCAGACCTGTATGCCTACCAATCCAATTGTAGACCGCATATATTATCATTTGGTCTTTCACTTTTGTAAGGAACACCCCTTATCGCATGTAGTCAGTGAGTAGGACATACCTGTCTGAGGCTGTGAACACGTAGCCACTTGAGAATCCTTTTTTACGTCTTCAAAATATCTACTGTACAAAAGTAGTGTGCTATTCACAATCTTGTCTGTTGTATACCTTTAAATATCACAGATTTCTATCGCTACTATATTTACTGGTTTTTTTTTTTAAACTTCCATTCATTCTGTATGTTCTACTCAAGATGTATTTAATTAAAATTCTTTGAATTACCTGTGCATAATTAATTCTTTTATGTTCTTCATTTCTTAAAACCAAACCACCTACACTTATTTAGGTTTCTAGTAACTCAGCGTACAGAGGGGATTTCAACTACTGATGTGATCGGTCGTATTGTACGTGACTATGATGTTTACCTAAGAAGGAATATTCGACGAGGACTGTCAAGAAAAGATTTGAATATTAGTTATATGAAGGTTAGTACTATATATATATATATATATATATGATAATTTTTCTTCTAAAAGCCTTTGTACCGTGTGTGTGTGACTAGTTCAATCATCACATATCTATGTAAGTTTTTCCATTGTTATTTTGTCAATCTTTTTATTTTCTCTGTCTGGTATTTGTTAATGGCCAAAGTTATTGCGTAAGAGCTAGTGATACTGTAACTGCTGAAGATAAGAGAACTGCTAACGTACCTTTACTACGAAAAAATACACACCGTGTTTATACATTTTTAACCTCATTGTGTCGGTGGCACAGTGGTTAGGAGTCTCGCCGACCATGCACATGGTCCGAGGTTCGATCCCCTGCTGACGCACACCTGATATCTATGGTCGGCCTTTAAAATTTGGGCTACCGTTATCATATGCTGGAAATCCCATACTTGTTCCAAAATTATGGTGTGGAATCAAGCTGTAATGAAAAATAAAAATTAAATTTGACTGGGTCAGCAGACAATGAATCGTTCTGATTGGTTGATGGTTAGCCCAAGGTTAAACAGTGAGACGATTAGTTGTCCACCAATGATATTATTTCATGTCCACAACGTAAAGTAGATTCAGATATGAAGAGTAAACACTTCTACCACTGAATTAAAATGTTGATTTAAGTTTTGGCCGGTTCCTATCAACCTGCATCTATCTAAATCTTGTCCATTGCATACGCCAAAATATTAACTGGTAAATGGGGTTCGAACTCTTGGCCCAATGATTGGAAGTCGAGTGCCTGGACCAATGAGCCGACGCTTTTAGATGTTTTAGTCACGAGAATAAGCACAGGAAGTCCAACCCACACTGATAAAAATTCGCAACTAAAACAACAACACCAACAACAATCCACTACAGCACACAAAAAAGACTGTGTACAAGCATTATTCAACTATACAATTTCGTCAAAAAATGTCTAAATACGAATTGAATCACCAGCAAAAAACCATTCTCAGAAACCACAGGAAAATTCATCTTACATTACGTAAAGAATGTCTTAGAAATAACGTTTAGAATACAAAAACCATCAGGAGTAGATATGGTGCACAAACCAACTCACTTATGTCATTTAGCGCTATGCAAACCGAAAGACCCAACAACAAAGGAAGACGAAGTCAATACCATCTACAAAATGAATTACATGAATCGTAATAGGTACTATATCAGTTAAAGTGGGAGTCCCTCTCAACTCAGAATCCAAGATTACAGGCTAGCTGGGAAAAGACACGACCAGTATTCTTTCACATCAGTGCATGTAGACAACTGTGGACGCTAGTTCGACTGGAAAAATCTAGAAATTCTAAACAACGGAAACAATAAAGCACAGCAGAGAATTCCTAGAAGCCTGTTATTCAGTCGAATAAGCGGTCAACAAACAGATTACTGTAGATCAAGTTTATCAGCTGATGAAGAGTGAGTGACACGACAGGGGAAGTCAAATTTCAAGCCAATAAAAACAATCATTAAAAATAAATGTGAGTAAACAACCACTTACGACAAAGGTGTGTTGATGGGAAATACAATTACACTTATCATTTGTGGAGAATTCAAATAAGTCCATTTCATAGTAAATTTTGTTCTGAAATATGTTTCCGTAGATTTTCATATGATTGTGTCCACTTTTGTTGGATATTGATCTCGTTGTCCATTTAGTCATGTGACGTATTATTTATTGTTTGTAAAATGAGATTTATACATCCATGTGTCTATTAATTGTTATTTGATTTTGTGATGTTTAGGAAGTCTCTGTCATTCATCGTGTTTCCTCCCTCCCTCTTTCTCTCTCTCTCTAAGATTTTTACTTCCTCCCAGTTGAACTATTTCCTCTCATCGTGGATACAAAGATGATGTTCACGATTAACTGGCTATGAATACTACCTACATGTATCACTTATTTTTTCAGGTATATAATACCTTAGACGTTATCTATTTAGAATTAAATCTGCACAGTTCAGCGTCGAGAATTCATCACAGTTTTATTTGAAAACCAAAATGACTTACATCACACGAAACGTAGTGTGCTTGGTTACCATAAATAACAATCAAGAAACCAAGCTAAACTGCAGGATGCTCCATATACTACTGGATAATATGATGAGTAGTTCCAAACCAGTAGTATTCGTTACTAACCAGATGGAAAGGATTTATATACATATAAATAAGATAGGGAGAAAAAGTGTACCCTAAGATCAAAATTAAAAAAAAACACTTGAATATCGATGAGATGCTCACTAGCGACTGGCCCTATTCAGGTGGGAAGTCGTGACCAGTAGGGTACAGCAGGTCTGGTGTGAGGACAAATACTCGCCGAAGACATCGGCTAAGCGGTCGCGTTCTGTCGTGATCATTGGTCATTGGATCGGGTCCTAGTAGCTTAATGGTATGCGAGCTCGCCTTATAACCAGAAGGTCGTGGATGCGTACTGATGAAAAGCCCCAAACTAGGACGAAACAGCTGTCCAGCACTCCCTGCAGATTTTCCAATGGTTCTCTAACCGATGTCAGCTCATGATGAAATCCTGTAACCAATCAACCAAATCCCTACAAACTAACACTTAAATAAAATAATTGTTTATTAGTCATTAAGTTATAGGAAAGACAATCGATGAGGTGTGAAGCTGTACCGATTGAGATGATTAGGGCACGTGTTGCGCATGCTGAACCATCGCCTTGTTCAACGGGGAGGTGGAAAAGAGTTAGAGGTGGTGGTTCAACCAGAATTTGGAATCAGTCCATGAAAACCTTGACTGTTAGTTTGAACCAGGTAGAGATGTGTAGACTTCCTAGTTGAGGTCTTTGTGATGCCAAGAACCAATGACTGGAGATTATTTGTGATATGGCTGAAAATCGCATTTGAATTCACTCTCAGTGAACCCTTATATCCACTAAACCATCATATTTTCCCGTGTTACTGTTCTTCTTCTTCTATGTCATACAAGCCTTTTTGCATCTGTGCTGAGATTTCATCAACAATCAGCCAACCCGTTGGGGTTGATGGAACTTCCCAAATGAGTGAAGTGGTCAGCACGCTGAGTCAGTTAGAGTCAATTCCATTAAAACATCAATCATGAAATTAAACAAAAATGTTGACAGTAGGCACGCCTGATGTATACCGCTGATTGTTACCACTTCAAGTGACTTTTTTTTCCTTCACGTTCCCCAGTGGAACATAGGGCATCAAGCTAGTACCTTGAAGATTCTGTTGCAGGGTTTAATTTTACGGGATAGGGTTGCTAGCCTCATGCCCAACCTTTCCTCTTTACCAGCATTTTTTATGGTTTAGCGAGGTAAAGGAGTGCGTCGGCCGGGGATCGAATGTCCTAATCGCTGTGCCACCGACGCACCTTCAAATGACTAATCTCCGTAAACTGTTACATAGCCGCGTAAATTCAAGTAGAGTACTTTGTGATTAGGGCGATGTACTTTATTACTAGAATTTTCACTTTTTTTAATGAAGTTTATTTCTGCTGTCAGACACTTTTTTATGTTTAGCTTAAACTTACGGTAAATCGGAATGAGTAGAAAACAATTTTTGCTTTAGTATGAATATGTCTGCTGTTTTTTTCGGTGACGCAATGAATGCATATTTAATTTAATGAAGTACTAGCGATTTTGTGGAGTGAGTTTTTAGATGTCTCCACGAGTTTATTGGTCATCTCTCCTGGTGGCCTTGAGCGTGATTGGTTGTTTTTGTGTATTTTCACACCATCTAGGCTACTTGTATTGGCATTGGTGCTGATTGTTTCCTTGACTTGAACTTTCAGCCTTTGTGTGTGAGATTTCCTTCTTATCGATTGGTAAATTTTGTCCTTATCGATGTGTCTATCGATTGACGATTCACTGGAATACCAGGCTTCTAAAAATTCTCTAGTATTCTTGGTGCTTCTTCTGTCTAACATTTAAAGGTTGTCTCAGTCGAATCGATGTCCATGGTTATTTGTATGCAGCACTATGAAGGAGTGGATGAAACTAAATTTGACTGATAGAGTTTAGTCTGTACTAAACAAAAGACTGGACGCATGAGATGAGTTGCTACCTAGTGACCGATCAAAGTATCCATTGCGGTGCTGCAGTAGAATAATGCAGCGGTAACATCTCTGGCTGTAGCACTGGATGACCCGCCTTCGAAACTCAAAGGGGATATGAGTTCCTCGAAGATTGCAGATACGAGTGCCAACAAACACGAAACCTGTGTCCAAGGTTTCCTGTCGATTGACTCCAGTCATCTAACAATAAGAAAATGAATTAATAAATACTTAAGACAGTTTGTCTTTGTGATAAATTGAATTTCAACCTTTAGAAGACAAATATTACTAGGTGACTTCATTTGTATAGTTTCTCTCCAATTACACTCTGCAGCTAACATGATTTATGATGATAATAATATTGTTCGCTTGATGATCTTGAACAAGAGCAAGAGAAACGCATCTGGCAGGATGAAATAACGCCACTGCATACATTCCGTTGGTTATTTTCAACTGCGTACAAAACCATAAACAGCTTATTATCAATATTATACAAAGTATTCAAATACCGTAGGAGTTTAAGTATTGGTTTGTAAGGAATTGATTGATGTATCACAGCATTTCGTCATAGGCTGACATCGGTTAAAGAACCACTGGATAACCTGTTTTGTCCTAGTTTGGCACTCTTCATCAGTACTCACCCACCAGATTCATGATGAAATCCTGTAACAAATCAATTATATCCCTAAAAACCAATACTTTAAAATCAATGAGATGCCTACTAGTGACTGGCCCTATTCAGCTAGGTATTCACCTGAGGTTCTAGTGGAAAGTCTTGACCAGTAGGGTACACCAAGTTGGGTGTGAGAACAGACATTCGCCGAAAACATTGGCTATTGGTCGCGCTATATCGTGAATTGGCAGAAGTTGGAATTTATGCCCTGGTCATTGGGTCGGGTCCCATTAGTGGCTTTTGATGGTCCACGAACTTGCCTTGTAACCAGAAGGTTCCTGGGTTGGA